ACTTACTTACTACTACTACTACTCTCTCTCTCTCTCTCTCTCTCTCTCTCTCTCTCTCTCTCTCTCTCTCTCTCTCTCTCTCTCTCTCTCTCTCTCTCTCTCTCTCTCTCTCGCTCGCTCGCTCATTCCTCTCTCTGTATCATGTTCTTCCCCTCTTCCTTTTTTCTTTCTTTCTTTTCCATCGATGTACTATATAAGATTGTCCTCTCTGTCTTTTTCTTTTTCGCAACATATGCCGCGTTATTTCTTTTTTTATTCCTCGCGGAAAATGTAGGATTTCCGTGCAAAGGTTTGCGCCTTTGTCATTGTCTCATCGATTTAAAGAATTATTTGTAACGATTTGCGAAATGTAATTTATTTTTAAGATCGACCATCAATTTTGTATTCATGAACGAAATGACACTGATTGTCACGTGCATGTTTGCGCAAAAAATGTGATGACGATTCGACGTATCCGCTGAATTGGCTGATACAAGAGATCAAGTTAGTGTCGGTATTCTAACATTATAAATTACACTCGGTGTCCCGATCGCATTCTCGTGACTGTTTATCGGTTTTCTTACGCTGCATCGAATTACCGCTGATAAAACTGAACTTGATATTAAACTAGTTATCAAATCTCTTAAAGTATGCAACAAGAACGGAAAAATTTCGTGTAAATATTGAAATAAACAGCATAAATATTTTTTTATCAAGCTTTAGATAAACGATTTTTTTGTATTGAACGTTAAGTATTTTAGCCATTAAATCTTAAATCAAATTATTATCAATTAGTATGAAATTACTCATCGATACTATCAAGATTATGAATTACATTGATTATGAATTACATTTTCACTTGCATCGATTTATTGACATTTTGATTGCGTAATTATATGTAAAAAGATGAAGATATATAAAAAAACAAACGGGAGAAATACTCGTAATATCATTATTATAAAATCGACGAAACATAAAATTATTATGTTAATGGCAAAATGTATTAGTTATTAAATTTAATAATTCTTGCACTCTGTTTATGCATCAAGCAAAGTTAATATTTTTTATGTATATTTTATGTATATTTACAAAGCAATAAAAGTCTATAAAATGAAGAATATTGATTTATGAGAATATTTTATGATGTGTCTAAGGAAGCCAAACAATAGTTAAATACAAAGGGATTGCCTTGGTTGGTAAAGGGTTAAGCTCCATTTTGCTGAAGTTGGAATCCTTGGTTTTTGTATTATAATAAATGTGACTAATTCGCTTTTTCACGAAAATGTCATGCATGTCTAAAAAAATGTAACGTTGAAAATATTTTAAAGCTCTTTTACTTTGCCTTTAATATCTAGCAGGAATAGATCGAATATAAACTTTAAAAATATCAGAAGAAATATTGCGAACAATTTATAAACATGTCAAATTCACTTTTGTTAATCAAAAATAGTTATAACTATAATAGTTGTAATAGTTATAATTCATTGTAGTTAATATTATATTATATAATTTATATAATTAATCATAATAATTTTATACAAGAACACAGTTTGTATACATTTATTAATACGTTATAATATTCATAGTTGTATAAAACTGATATAAAAACATGTAATTCTTAGTTTCGATGTTTATTTTTCGATATTTACAATCTCTCTTTATTGTCTTTCTTTATTGTCTTTCTTATTCAGCGTTTCTTACTTGCGCGAATGTGTTTTGTCCAATGTTTTTATAGTTTCTCAATTAAATTTCAACGTATTTTTAACACATTTTCACAATTAAATATAACAAAATTTCATTTCCCGTAAAATAGATTTACGCGTATAGTTTGCCAAAACATTTCTTCACGCTCTCTCACTCGGCTACGAACTCGGACAGACCTCGAACGTAATGGCCGCGACGACGGAGGTCAGCCGTTTCCTTGAAATCGGGTAGCGACCTGCAGCCACGCACATTTATATGCAATGAATATATTCCTAGTGTCTATTTTTAAAGGATTATATTGTAAAATTATTGCACATTGCGCGTTGTTTTGATGCTTTAGCCGTCAGTAGTAGTAGATGATATTAACTTTTCAGATATTCAACAAATTTTTAAGAGTTAACGAAACAGTTTCTTCGCTAGTAAATTTTAGAAAGTCGAAATAATTTATAATTTTTAGTATATAATTTTTTTAGAATAATTAATCACGTGGTGATGGCCGACGACCTTCACGAAAGAACGATTA